CTTGAGAGAGTGACAAAGTACGAGAGGGGGAGGAGGAGTGACAGAGGGAGACACAGAATCCGAAGCAGGCTTCAGCCCCAACATGGGGCTCGAACTTGTAAACCACGAGATCATGACCTGACCCAAAGTTGGATACTTAACCGACTGAGCCACCCAGGCGCCCCAGTAGTGGTTTAATTGGACCAGAAAAATGGAACCCCAGGTCTGAATCCTCTAAATTAAAAACAGCATATTTGAAGTAATCACTTTCATATTAGGCTTTTCAGGGATTTTTTTACAAGGGACACCCCAATGGGTAAGATCTGTCCATTGCATGCTTCTTGTCAATTGCATGGATCTGTGACCCTGTGGTCCAGCAGCTCGTAGTTGCACATCGCTAATAGGTATCCACATAAACTTTTCATAATCTTCGGTGTGACAATTAAAACCTTTATTTTTTCAATAGCTTCAGAGGGAAGAGTCCTAAACCTTTTGGCTTAAGAAAATCCCAGACAAAAAGAAATGGCCACTGGGGGGCGATGGAGGTTCAGAAACCGCCCTGCAATTCCCGGAGGCAACCGAGCACTTTAGCTGGTTTATTTATTCAAAGTTGGAATTGGGACGTGCGAACCACCGAGCTCAGAGAAATTCCTGGATGAGGAACACAGTCCTGGGGAAAAAAAACCTACCAAAGATGGAATTAGCACCTTGGCGGAGCGCCTTTCACGCAAAGAGCTTTCCTTCCTTGTGGGTCTTAGGAATGGACTTGGGTTCCCATCAGTCTGAAACAGAGGAAGCCAAGTTAAACTGCAAAGGACTGAGCCAGCAACGAAGCGTGCTTGTTTATCATTCCCTGCAAACACGCGGCGGCGCACATCGCACGTGGCCTTAAGGCATCGCCCCGCCATCGGCTCCCAAGTTTTGGCTGGTGTGGGCAGGCCTCAGGACCTTTCCGCTGGGGAGGGGGAAGGTTGTGCAGTTGATCTCAGGAAACTGTGAGTCATAGCTAACACTTCAGGTGACACTTGAACAATCTAGTGAGGCAGAATCTAGGCAGGTCCAGAGAGGTATCTTCTGGAAAACGAAGAAGGAAAACAGTGTGCCCTCACCGAAGGGGTGATTTTTGCAGCCACTTGGTGGAATGCATTGGGCTGTATTTCTCCTCCCTGAGAGAAACACATACGTTGGTTGTGCTTGAGGACCGCTGGTGTATTTCTCCTCCCTGATTACGTCGGTTGTGCTTGAGGACCGCTGGTAGGTTCGGGGTCCAACCGGGGCTCCCAGACTGTGGCTGGCTCACTCTGTCGAGCATCATCAACGCGGTGGGCCCAGCCACTAATCCTCCGTGGCCTTCTTTGCTCCCCCAGATTGATACCATCAGTGTTCCAGCATGAGGCTTTCATCTTGCTTCTACTCCAAGATGGGCCAAAGGGCAGGGAGTTAGAGAATTCAGGAATGCAAGTCCAGCACACACTGGTGTGCATAACAGAGGGCACACACACATCCAGGAAATGACGTGGCATCCCATGTCCTAGAGCTCTCTGTTTCTAAGGCCCTCCAGCCTGGCCGAGGGATGGCCCAGGAGTTCTAAGATGGTGGCCAGGAGGGGGACCCCTGGACCCCACTGCCCAGTGCCCTGTGCCCCCTGGGAGTTGGGCCGATGCATATTTCTGAGGACACTCAAGAGTCTGGAACTGTTATTAGACCAGTGAGGACGACAATTTGGGTTTTGAGTGAGAAGTCCAACTTGGATTAGTTAGGCAGAAAAAGGAATTTATTGGTCTGCATCCCTAGGAAGTCCAGGGGGTAGGTAAGACCTCAAGAGGGGCTGGATCTGGGGGCCCCGCCTCCCTCTCTCAGCACAGTGTTCCTTTGTTTGATGGCCTCTCTCCCACCTTCTTTACCATTCTGGGGAATTAGCGCCTGTCAGGTCCCGCACTTTCCCTTGGACCAGCTGCAGTGTCTCAGGGTAGAAGGGGCAATGTGATTGGCTGGGGCCGGGCCGATGTAACTCACAGCCCCCCTAGGACCACAGGAAGGGGGAAAGAGGGCGCTCCTCTGAGGAAACGATGCTAACATACTAACACAGCACGAATCTACATGCAGATCATTTTTCTGTATGGACAGAAAGATCAAGAATCCAAGCCCTACTAAGAGACCCATTAGCCAATAGCGATGTTAATCCCAATTGCAGTTTTGCTGCCTTAAATTCCACCACAGGCCTAATGCAAAGGCTCTGGATTCTTGTGCAAATCATTTGAGGAATGTCTCTACTAATTCAAAGAGGATCCAAGAACTGTTTTCTATTGACAAATGCCTCTATAAGCAGGAACCCCGAGTTGTAATAAATACAATAAAGAAAACACCCTGTGTTCAGTATCGGAGGCTGGAAAGGGAACACCATGTCTAACAATGCAAAGGACCAGCCATTGCATTTAGGACTAACAGTCCCCAAATTATCCCTGGAAACTCCGCAAGGTCTACATAATTATTTGCAAGGTTCCCTTAATGCAAGTGATCTGCTTTCTATGAAAATGCTAATCATAGGAAACACATGCCCTGGCACAAAGCAAACCAAAACAAAGTAAAATTTCAAGAAACCGAGGCCCTAAAATAGCTATAAACAAAAACTAGTGAGGTGTGACCAGAGACAGTGGGACTTTGGGGCCCGAGTGACAACAGTCTGTGAGGCAGACAAGGAAGCCATTGTGCGATGGGACATTTCCTGATTTTTTAAAGTTTATTTATTTTGAGAGAGAGGAAGAGAGAACAAGCGAGTGGGGGAGGAGCAGAGAGAGAGAAAGAGAGAGAGAGAATCCCAAGTAGGCTCTGTCAGCAAGGGGCCTGATGTGGGGCTTCATCCCACGATCGGAGATCATGACCTGAGCTGAAGTCAAGAGTTGGACGCTTAGCCCACTGAGCCACCCAGGTGCCCCTGATTTACTGACTTAAAGGTGGCCTTTATTCATAAAAGTAAAGGTGCCACAGCCTGGCAGCCACATCCACACACAACTCTGAGCTCTAGAAGAAAAGCCCAAGACCCTGTGGTGGAGTGGCCTGGAAAGGGCACCTTTCTGAACGTTCGAGTTCTCCTCCGGGCTTGCTGGCTATGAACGTGGCGGTCACATCCTGTCTTAGAGGCTCCACCGCCTCATCGGTGAAGTGGCAAGAATACCAACCCAGGGAGTTGCTTTGCAGATAAAACACACAGCCCCGTACAGGCCTAGCTCAGGAGTCCGCATACTTCCGTGAAGGGCTGAAGAGTAAATATTTGGGACTTCCTGTGTGAGTCTCTGTGGCAGCTACTCACCTCTGCCCCCTAGCGGAAGCCGCCTGGGCAACATGGCCAGCTTGGGTGTGGCTGTGCACTGGTAAAAGTTTATTCACAAAATCAATGTGGCCTTCCACTGAGGCCTGCAGGCCCTAGTTTGCTGACCTCTGGTCCAACTAATTGTTCTTCCCTGCTCGCCCTGTTAACCCTCTTGCCCCCAGTCAGAGAACATCCTTCTGTGGACTCAGTTGTGCCCCCCACCAAATTTTTAAGTTGAAGCCTTAACCTCAGATGTAGCTCCTTTTGGAGATGGAGCCTTTGAGGAGGCACTGACAGTTGAATGAAGCCCTAAGAGTGGGGTGTTCATCTGATGGGCTGAGGTCCTTATCAGAGGAAGAGACACCAGAGCTCGCTCTCTCCATTATATGAGGACACAGCAAGGCAGCCACCCTGATGGCACCTTGACCTCAGACTCCCAGCCTTCCGAGCTGTGGGAAGAGAAGTATCTGTTGTTGAAGCCGCCCAGCGTGGTATTTTTTGACAGTGGCCCATTAATGAACTGTATGAATGCTGTGGCCACCCTACATTTCCTCCTCTTTCTCCCTCCTTCTACGTCCAACTTTCCTCCCCTCCGTCCTTCCTTTTCAAAAATGTTTACATCTCTCAAACAGAGCTAAAAACACGCGCCCTTCTTATCTAACAAAATTTGCGTGAGGCTAAAATTAAATAGAACACATGAGGTACAATCTAGTACAAGTTATCACTAAGGGATTTCTGTTTAGGGCCTGTCACCTGTAGTTGCAAATGCAAACTACCACGTGGAACAGCAAATATGGTCCCAAATGTCCTCCCCACCCTAGCCCCCGACGCGAGGTTATGTGGGCAATGGAGTGGTATCTGTTTATTTGCTTGGGCGCTTTCATTTTTTGAGCAGTGAGGGAGGTACCAGGAAGCTAGGAGGAGAAAACATGTATGAAAAGGATTCTGGTTCTAGTCCAGAGTGTTTTCCTTCCATCCTTTGAACGGTCAGTGGTATCGTGTCCTTCACTCAGTAAATACAGATAACATTTCTACTCTAAGTCAGGTGCTGTGCCGAGTACAGTAGATACAGAAAGGAGAAATCAGATAAGGGCTTGGGCCTTGTGTGTGTGTGTGTGTGTGTGTGTGTGTGCGCGCGTGCACGCGCGCATGCACGTGCATGCATACACACAGGCAGAAGGGGAGAGGAGGTCAGGCTCAGAACAGAGAACCAGCTGGGTCGCATGGCAGAAGTGACAGGCACAGGCGTGCTGGAGACAAAATCCGCAGTGGCCGGTGGCTTCTTCATCTCCCCTTTCATCATCTTCCCTTCCCCCAAGCCCGATCCCCAAGACTTTTCAGCTCCTAGTTTCTTCTGAAAATGTTGACTCAAGATGGTGGCCTTCTTGTTCATATGATTCCTCATATATAGTTCACGGTAATCGCGACGGCTATTATTAATGTGTGTTTCTGGCCTGGGCACCACCCTGCTAGGCATTTTTTGGTAATAAACTTCCAATTTTAGAATAGTTTTGTATTTACGGGAAAGTTGTAGAGACATACAGAGTTCCCATATACCCTGCGCTCAGTTGGCCCTCTTATTAACATCTTAACTCCGTATGGTACCTTCGTCACAAGCAATACACCAATTCTGATACATTAATCTTAACTAAGATCCATTCTGGACTTCAATTTCATTCGTTTTTACCCTAATGTTCTTTTTCTGTTCCAGGATCCCTTCCAGGATGCCACAGTACAGTTAATCGTCATGTCTCTCCTTGGCTGTGACAGTTTCTCAGGCTTCCCTTAGTGTTGATGACCTTGACAGTGTTGAGGAACACTGGTCAGGTATGTTGTAGAACACCCCGGAACTGGGATTTGTCTGATGCAATGCATGATTTCTTGTTCTTTATGGCTAATCTTCAGTGTTAATGTACATCATTCATTTCATTGTTACACATGAAAGCACTGAGGCACAGAGAGGTTAAGGAACTTCCCTGAAGTTGCACAGCTAGCAAATGACAGAAGCAATGATTCAAACTCAAGATTGACTTGAATTTATGCCACACGTTTACTCTGCCTCCCCAGCCCTGATCTGCTGAATTCCTGACAACGAAAGAGTTCCCTTCAAGGTGGTCGGGGTGATTTCTTTGGTAATTGTTTCCCCCCACAAGGTTTTAAACAATTTCCTAATGTGTTTAGTTGAAGTAGAGCAATTCCCCCTATCCGTTATTTGCTGAACCGAGTATTCGTGTAACTTCGGCGGCTGCCTTCTTGGGGCGGTTGGTTCATTCAGAAAGAACCTGGCCGACCAGTCTTCAAGAACCTGGGTTTCCGGTGGCTCTCCGACTGTGCTCACCTGGGTTCCACAGGCATCACCTGGGCTGCTGCTTTAAACGTGCACTTCCCTGGGGTAGGGTGGTCACGTGTCCCAGTTTGCCCAGAACCGACCAGCTTCCGGGTTGCGGGACCTTCCGCGCTAAAACCAAAACCGGGATCGTCCCGGGCAAACCAGGGCGGTCGGTGGGTCACCCTAGCACAGAGCTCGTGTGCGTTTGCTGGGGCCCAGCAATCTGCTTCTGAACATAAACTAGCCAGGAGATTGTCCTAAACGTGCAGAAGTCGGAAAGCCACTGCAGCAGAGACGGGAGAGACTTCCTGGGAGAACTGGTAGTGGGTTTCTAGAGAAACTGAGTAAACATTGATTTTCATCTGGGTGCGTTGGACTCTGCCTGAAGTTGAGAGGAAACCCCAGTCACCCAGCCTTCAGCCCACACGACATCAGTGGGGATCCTTTTTCACTCTTTTGGTAAGAAATGGGCATTGCTTTCCCAACTCTGCATTTTTGTTGAGCTCCCAAAAGATATCAGGTCCTTTTGAGGCCATCGTTTACCAGCTGGGATGGATGGATCTGTGTTAACCGAGCGCGATGGTCCTACAGCTTGGCAGCTCAGTAGACTCTCCAGGGAGAGTTCAAAAGTCCTAGTGCCCGGGGCCGCCCCAGACCAAGTTCATCAGAGTCTCTGGGACTGGGCCCCGGGCACCCGTAATTTTACAGTAGAAAAACCAGGGATCGAAAACACCACTGTCCAGGGGGAATATGTGAGCTGTAATCGGCTAGTAGCCACATTTTAAAAAGTAAAAGACGCACCTGGATTTTAATATTATATGAAAATTAATGCAGTGTATCTGAAATTTCATCCTTTCAACTTATCCTTACAAAAATGATCAATGACACGTTTCACATACATTGTTGGCGTTCGAAGTCTTTGAAATCTGTGTGCATTTCACACTTCCAGTGCTTCACAGCTCGGACGCTCAGTTTTTATCAGAAATACTTGATTTGCATTTAAGATTCGTGTGCCTGAATTGTTCCGAACGTGTTTAACTCAAAAGTAGTCCCACAAGTGAATCGGCTCTTATGTTCTCAATTGTAATTTTAATTAAAACGAGAAACGCAGTTTGTCAGGCTCACTAATCCCACCCCAATTACTGAATCGACACGTGTGGCTAACAGCTTCGGAGCCCGGTGGCCCGGTCCTCAGACTGTAATGTGGGCATACAGATCGCCGGGCAGTCTGCTTAAAAGCTACGTTCTGATTCAGGAGATCTGGGGTGAAACCCCGTGACGCTGATGCTGCTGGTCCAGGGACCGCATTTTGAGGAGCAGGGGACTAGAGTGATCTGGAAGGAGGGCTGCCTCAACTCTGATTTCTCCCCTTGCTCGGTAGTATTCTCTCCTTTTAAAGGCTGGCACATGTGTGTGATCGCGGGAATATATATAAAACACATCTGTGTGCATGCATACTTGCAAATGTATGTGGGTGTAGCTGAATACGTGTGCGTGTCTGAACTTGTGTAGAGAGATCGTGCGGAGAGAGAGCAGGGGAAGGGCAGAGAGAGGAGACAGAGAATCTGAAGCAGGCGCGGTGCTGTCAGCGCAGAGCCTCACACGGGGCTTGAACCCGCGAAATACGAGATCACGACCTGAGCTGAAATCAAGAGTCAGACGTTTAACCGACTGGGCCGCCCAGGTGCCCCTTCTTCACTTTATTTTAAATTCAACTTCCTCTTCTTTGGTCCCTGGAACCGAACAACAGCCGAATGTTGAATCTTGATTGAAGTCCCTATATGGATTTGTTTGCTTTTTTTAAATGAGTGCAGTAGTTTCCTGTGTTTTATTTTAATGTTGGTAGGTATTTAAAAAGTATCGGATGGCCCAGGCTCTCTGTGGTTGTGTGAACAGTGCAGAGTAATCTGCAGTTCTGTCTGGTTCCCTTGTACTTGGGTGTGGAAATTTTATGCCCCATTATTTGTGTTTCTTTCTATATAGATGCTTTTTCATTCTCTTTAGACATCGGTATGGAAAGGTTGTGAATTACTTCTAAAATGTCCCAGCATCTACTCAACTATTCAGTTTACTTGGTTCCTCTGATCCAAAGCTGACTTAACTCCTATGCCACGTTCTGAGGCCCAAACACCACCTCTCTGCGCCCCCCAAAATTCAAAAAACAAAAACCAAAATTGACAAGACTTCTCTTTGTCAGGATTTATAATATGGGAAAGTTATTGGAGCATAAGTAACAACCAGAATCATAGTGGAATTGGAGAAATTGGTCATGCTTCATCTTTTATTATCCTTCCATTTCTTTTAGGGGACCAGCTTTCCATGGGAAAACACCATTATTTTTGGCAGTTATCGCAATCAACCAAAGGAAGACCTGAAGGACATAGCTATTAAAGACTTTCTCGAGAGAAAAAAACAGGGAATAACCCATCCTTCCACTAAAATAGAAGGAAATGAAATGAGGGATAACAATTAGGTGTATCAAAGCAGGATGGAGGATAAAAAATGTTAATTTTTACTTTAATCCCAAGTTTAATTTTATTATCCGATATTGGCTATGTGTGGTGGAAACGATTGCCTATCTTTTTCTTTATGGGACACAGTCCTTATTCTGTGTATAGTTATAGATTCCAGTAATTATAAGATCTGGCACCATCCATGAAAATGGCCACTAATTCAAAAGTTTTGTTCATTGGGCTGCATTCCAGAGGATTCAAAAATCTCCAAGGAAATCAAGCTAGGGCTCGGCAGGAATAGTGGCTTAATTTTTATTTCCTTTGTTTCAGAGGCATGGGTGTCTCTGGGTGAAGTTTGGATATGCTACATTTTTTATTTCCTGTGGATCACATTGCATTCAATAATAGCTAATAATCGAGGCACCTGGGTAGCTCAGTTGGTTAAGTAGTTGACTTTTTAAAAAAATTTTTAATGTTTTTTATTTATTTCTGAGAGAGAGAGAGAGACAGCATGAGCAGGGGAGGGTCAGAGAGAGGGAGATACAGAATCTGAAACAGGCTCCAGGCTCTGAGCTAGCTGTCAGTACAGAGCCCGATGCGGGGCTCGAACCCACAAACTGTGAGATCATGACCTGAGCCGAAGTCGGATGCTTAACCGACTGAGCCACCCAGGCGCCCCAAGCAGTTGACTCTTGATGTCGGCTCAGGTCATGATCTCACAGTTCATGAGATGGAGCCCTGCGATGGGCTCTGCGCTGATATGCATGCACACTCTCAAAATAAACATTAAAAAATGATAACTAATAATAATAGTTGACATTCATTAACTGCTTTTTTTAAAAAGTTTATTTGAGAGAGAGAGGGAGAGAGAGAATCCCAAACAGGCTCTGCATTTTCAGCGTGGAGCCTGACATGGGCCTTGAACTCACAAACCGTGAGATCATGACCTGTGCTAAAGTCAAGAGCTGGATGCTTAAGCAACTGAGCCAGCCTTGCACCACATTAACTGCTTAATATATGTCAGTCTTATTAATTACTTTATTTGCTTTATTTAATTCTCATAACAACTTCATAGCATAGTACAATTTTTAAAGAACTAAAAACACAACCTTGTAGAAATACAGAATGAACACCTGTCAAGGATTTATTCAATTCATGAATGAGAGAACCATAAGGCATTTTGAGGAACTTGGTATTTATAGGCATTTTGAAGGAAAAAAAAAAGTGTTGGAATAAGAGTTCTAGGATAGATTCAAAACTGATTACTGTTCTACAGGGCAATAAAACCACAACCTTTGCGGTTCTCTTTTCTGTCGGACAGATATGAATTAACAGGTAACTTCAGAGCATCTGAATTCTAACCAAACAACAACTAGAAAGTCAAACAGGAGTGCATTCCCTAGGTAATGAAGTAATTCTCAGCTAGGTAGACGAGCACCCTCGTAAGATTTTGAAAGGTCACACCTCGCCTCTGGCCATTTCACCTCATTCAAAGTTGGAAATAGTTTTCTTAACAAAGCTATGCTGATTCTCATTTTAACAATGAGGATGCTTAGAGATGTTAAATAATGTGATAAAGGAGAGCAAAACTGGGGCCCGGGTCCTTCTGACACTGCAACCTACTCTCATATTAGGTGAAATCCATTTTGGTCTTTTTGTAAAATTCTCTCTTGCTCTCGCTCTCTCGCTCTCTTCCTTCCTGTGTGTGTATGTGTGTGTACATGTGGCAGGGGAGAGGATGTGGAAACCAGTATTCTTTTTTTTTTTTTTTTTAATTTTTAAATGTTCATTTTGAGAGAGAGCCCAAGCTGGGGAAGGACAGAGAGCGAGAGAGAGAGCAAGAGAGAGGGAGACACAGAATCCGATGCAGGCTCCAGGCTCTGAGTTGTCGGCACAGAGCCTGATGTGGGGCTCGAACCCATGAACCGTGAGATCATGACCTGAGCCGAAGTGAGATGCTTAACTGACTGAGCCACCCAGGTGCCCCTGCACGCTGGTATTCTAACCTGGATATTTGGGGGGCTTTTACTGACAAAGCTTATTCAGATGATGTCAACGTTTTGACCATTTTTTCCTTTTTTTTAAAAAAAGAAAAATCTCCTCCCTTGCCTGTTAAAACATCCATCATTAAAGGAAAAGTCTAATCTATTGATTTCTTAGGAATGGGAGGTAGGGTTTGCACTGAACCATCACACACATTATCCTTGCCCTTGACCACCAGCACATATTTGAGAACTAGCTAGCCGGGGGGTTAGACTTTGAAGTTCTGCAACAGACCTTTCCTTGGTACAAAGCAAAATGTGTTCATGTAGAGTCTAAATCCATGAACCCCAGTCTGTAATCAGCTCAGCTGCCCAGCTTCAATCCAAGAGAGTTAATACGTGCCTTTTAGGAGTAATTTGCGTGAAAGATAGTCTAAAATCTGTTGGGTTTCAGAGAGGGTGTGAGAGAGAGAATGGGAGATTACATTAGTTGAAGGACCAGGGGCCAGAGTAAAAGGGTTGAATGTAGAGATGGGAGGTTGGGGTTGGGGGGGGGGAGCGTGTAGATATGGGAACTTGGCAGTACGAGGGCAGACTCTGCCTCCCCCTCCCCACCCCTGCTCGAATCCGTTTACCTCCCTTGAGCCAGGCAGCTCTCAGGAGGTAGGATGACTAGGGCAGATGAGGCCTGGGGCTCTCCTGGGAGGCTCAGGGGTTGGGGAGACGGGGACTGCCGCACAGAGAGGGGGCCGCCGATGATGTCCAGAGGGCGGCAGATCCCAGCTCGGGGTTCAGGACAGATGACGATCCCACCTGAGCGTGCTGGGTGTCTGTGATCCCCACGAGCAGTAGGTAGAAGAAAGGTATAAAAACAAACAGTGGTCACATGACCAGTTGTAGGCATGAGGGCGGTGAGGCCATATTTTCTTCCTAATGTGATGTGTATCTGTACATATAATAACATTTGGCCTTCTTCCCTCTGCCTGTTATGTACGATAAGGAGCAAGTTGAACCTATGACTCAATACTTACATTGCAGAAGAGTAAGGAGCTCTTGCGACTGAACTAGAAGGCAATGACCATGACCCGTGTATAGATAAAATACCAGATAGAACTTCCTAGCTCTGCTTTGGGGGAAGCACGGGGGAATTTAGGGTGTATGGGGCAGAGGTGCATCAAGCAGGGAAGAAGCGTTGTGTTCACTTATTTGGAAGTTAAAATTGAGTGAAAGGAGTGTATGCTGCACGGACACAGAGGTGGAATGTGCTGGACTATCCATGGTCAGGTGGGCTTCACTACAGCTACCACCTCTCCTGAGGTGTCTTCTGAGTTCCCGAAGAGAACTAGGGCACTGCCTCTCTTACAGTCCCCTTCCCCATAGTGGCCCACGTTAGGGTTGCCGAGGACAATGACATGGGCTTTTTTTTTTTTCCCAAGGGAAAGAGGAGCAGAAGCCACGGCTGGATAGTGGGCAGGCAGGGGGCTCCCAGTGGCTTTGCAGGGAGATATTGAGAACCAGACGCTTTGCGGGTGCAAACCGAGTCCATTGAGGCGAAGGTTTCTCAGAGGTTCTCACAGATGGGAGCAGACGTCCGTAGAGCTCTGGATGCGCACCCACGCTGCTGTGCTGAGGCGGTCAGGGTCTGCTTCCCGGAGCTTTCCTAGTGGTTCCTCTGACCCGACTGTCCCAGTGTATTCTGGCGTTGACAGAAGTCCTAATTATTATATTAAATTCTTCATTCTTGCAACGTTCCGAATGACCCTATGGTCTCGACTGACTCTATCTAAGCTTATGCCACCAGTTTGATAGAAGATGTGCGATTGCGATGCCTTTAAGGGAAATGCTATTGGAAGGCAAACGCCGTAAGATCCACACAGGAATCAGAGGTGCTGCTAAGCGCATTTTAAAATCTAGAGAATTAAAAAGCACTGTAATTTTCCATTTGACCTTGAGATCTGCATCTTTCCTCAGGTTTCAGTCCATTGGAGAGCCATTTACGTATTATCTCAGGGGTCAGGGAACTGTGGCCCGTGAGTCAAATTCAGACTGTCACCTGCTTTACTCACTAAAGTTTGATCGGAACACAGCGGTGCCCATTTGTTTCTGGACTGTCGATGGCCGCTGTGGTGAACCGTCATGCCAGAATTGAATATTTTTAGCAGAGACCAGGCGGCACACAAGGCCAAGAATATTTGCCATTTGCCTTTTTATAGCAAACGTTTGCCGACTCCTGTATTATCCTCATTCCTACTTTCTTCGAAACATAAAGGTTTCGTCTCTGTCCTCATCACCTTGGCTCACTCCGAGGGATTAGACTAAATACTACGGCTTTGGCAAAGCCATTTCGGATGCCAGAAAGAACGTTTCGGCTATCTCAAAGTACCCACTTACCAGCACTTCTAACTTGGCATAGCAATGTGTCATTTTTAATGAACTGCATTCCTCCTTAATCATTTTGGCTACCTTTGCAGCGTTTTGCTCCCTGCCTTGCATAAGGCGGACAGACTTGCTGTTCCCATGGTCATGTGGTTCCCACAAGCCCAGCCCCCACGTGGCCCGGGGGGTGTTGCAGAAAGCGGAGCATTTTGCATCCGAAGTTCAACATTTTAGAAGCAATTGAAGAGCAATTTGATATACTACCAGAAATCTAGAGGAAGGGGCTTAAAATGCTTTAGAAGCAAAACCCTCAGTGAGTGTTTCAACTATTATTTTTTTATCACTTGGCTATGCTAATCTTTTCTCTTTGTTAGTCACAGAATGGAGCTTGCCCTTAAACAGTTACCGTCGAAAAGAAACTTTGGGGGCGCCTGGGTGGCTTAGTCGGTTAAGCGTCCGACTTTCGCTTAGGTCATGATCTCGCAGTTCGTGGGTTCGAGCCCCGCGTCGGGCTCTGTGCTGACTGCCAGCTCGGAGCCTGGAGCCTGTTTCAGTCTGTGACTCCCTCTCTCTCTGACCCTCCCCTGCTCACGCTGTCTCTCTCTCTCTCTCTCCTAGAAATAAATAAAACATTAAAAAAAATTTTAAAAATAAAAATAAAAGAAACTTTGG